GATAAAATGTTTACTTAAAAAAAATTCATGCTGAATACAGAAAATCCAAAAAAAGAGACAGGCACAAAGGGGGAAAAAAAAATCACCGGTAAGCTCACTGCTCAAAAACTAACAGTTTCAGAAGCTGATTCAGTATAGGAGAAAATTGTGGGATTCATGGTTCTTATTCTTTAACACAATTTAGGGCAAAAGAATCCTAAGGGAAGGCCATCTTTTCAAAAGCAATGTTTTTGTTAAATTGCAAGAGAAATATCACTGAATATGGAAATTTTTGGAAAAACTAAGGGGTAAATTTCTTCATTATTCTACCTTACTATAACCACTCTTTAATATTTTGGTATATTGAATAAAGGTGTCGTGACATTATAGATCATCAATACTATTGATGGGTGTAAATAAGTCCTTAAAAAACAAAAAAAGTGTTGTGAGTAATAAAGTTGAACTGTGAATTAAAGTAGTGCTTTTGTATATGTGTAATAGTCCAGATTGCAAATTTAATTACATTTTATAGTTTGTTATGAATTGATTTAAAAGAATTGTTACACGTCTTCTATTAGAGAAAAAAATAGCTATTAACATTCAAACTTTTAAGATTAATTAAATCCCTCACCTCAAAAATTATGCCACTGTTGCATTATTGTCCCCTTGGTACTCTGATAGGTCTATTAAGTAAGCGAGAAGTCAACCTGTGAATGAATAGATCACTGAACTAGCTAGCAGTCTGGAAATCTGGGTGCTAGTTTGGGCTCTGCCATTCACTGGAGGCCTCATTGTGGACAAATCCCAAAGAGCTGTAAATGAGAAGACTGGGCTGTATCACAAAGGACACTGACAGCCAAAATAATTTATGACACAGGGAATCTGGCCAGGCCTGGATCAACCTTTTATGATAATAAAGAATGAATTCATAAAGCAGAAACATTAAATAACTGAGAGAAGAGTTTGCCATCTTTATTTGCAACCAGAGCAGATACAATGTGTTTCCTGTCCTTTCCACAAGTAGCCAGGGGAAGGGGGGAGGGGGAGAGGACAGGGACAGGATGTCCTTCCTTCACTTACCACTCACCAGCCTACATCTTTACACTTTTTTCATGGCCATCAAGTCTAATAGCCCAGAAGTTCATCCTACAAAACATGAGAATTACGAGTAACTTCCTAGGGTGACAAAATAAGTGCTTAATTTCATTTGCATTTGTTATTTTTTTTCTGGAGCCTTCTTTCTCTCATTGTTGTAGTCTGAATTTATGGTGACATAATATCAGGGACCTCGGAGAAGGAAAACATTTACGGAGTCACTTAAGAAAAGACTTTGGTGTTCCTTTGGTAGGCTGATACTTTTGCCAGTTTGCAGGTGAACCTTGGAAGAAATTGGAAACGAGAAGTGAAAAAGAAGTGCCTGGATACCTAAAACTGCTCTATGGAGCAGAAAGAGACTTTGTTCTTTCAGGGAGTGTAGCTTTAAGGCACTGTGAAACTATTATGTATACATCAATCTCTCTTCTATGACAGGAACTGTGTCATATATCTTTATATTCCCAGGACGGGATATAACCGACAATCAAAACATTTGTTCTATTACATTGAGTAGGCCGGTGACTCATACCTGTAATCCTAGTACTTTGGGAGGCCAGGAGTTCAAGATCAGCCTGGGCAACATAGTGAGACACCCTGTCTCTAAAAAAATTAGCCGGGTGTGGTGGCGCGAGCTTGTAACCCTTTAGCCCCTGCTACCGGGGAGGCTGAGGAGGGAGGATTGCTTGAGCTCAGGAATTTGAGGTTGCAGTGAGCCATGATTGTGCCCCTGCACTCTAGGATCAGACCCTGTCTCCCAAAAAAAAAAAAGCAAAAATGTGCGAGAATAAGATAGACAAGACTGAAATAACGTGTCTGTTATTGGATATCTAAACTTTTAAAGGATTTACTGCAGGATTACTACAAAGGGAAAGAAACTTCAACAGAGCAGTTTTCAGATGAGTTTTTAACAAACTAGAATTTGGAAGAAGCAGCAGAAAGCCGGGTATCAGAGTTCCTTATACGTGCCAACTGATCAAGCAACAGGTTTGAACCCCTTGAGTGAAAAAGAAAGGCAGGAGCGACAGCGGGACGCAGATTGGCAGAATGAAGTGTCTAGGGTCAGAGAAACTCCGCAATCGGAGCCCAGGGAGAGGACTGAGCGCAGCAGGCTGGGAACCTACGTCGTGCAGCCGGACCGGCTAGCTGGCTTTGAGCTTGTTTCTCAAGAGAACGACCAGGAAGCCCTAAAAGATGTGCAGTTCGGACTGGTGTTTTGGCGTGATAACTTCCGCGTGTGTGCAACGGGTTGCACTGCCCGAGAACTTCCGCGTGCGAGGGAGACTGGAAAGACGCCCGCCCGCGCCCAGCCCTGCCTGAGAGGAAACCCGCGCTCCCCGCCCGGCTGGCCCCCACTGAGGCGAGAGGGGCGGGCCAGGGGCGGGCCCGCGGCCACGCCCGAGCCGAGGCGCAGCCCCACAGGCCGCCCGGGCGCGCTCGCCGCGCCCCGCCCCGAGACTACACTTCCCAGCAAGCCTCGCGCCGCCCGCGCGCCGCAGTTGACCCATTTCCCGGCCCGTCACGGGCTCGCCCGGCCCCCGCGCCCAGGCTGCTGCTCCCTGCTGACTGGGGTGTGGGCGGGGAGCGACGGAGGGAGGAGGAGGCGCTGCTGGCCGCCGCCGTTGCCTCCGCTGCTGGGCGCCGGGACAGCTCCCCGGGTTCCTGCAGCCGCCATGGACGAGCAGGCGGGTCCTGGCGTCTTTTTCGGCAACAACCACCCGGGCGCCGGCGGTGCCAAGGGGCTCGGGCCTCTGGCGGAGGCTGCCGCGGCTGGCGACGGGGCGGCTGCGGCGGGGGCGGCCCGAGCCCAGTACAGCCTCCCGGGTATCCTGCACTTCCTGCAGCACGAGTGGGCCCGCTTCGAGGTGGAGAGAGCCCAGTGGGAGGTGGAGCGGGCGGAGCTGCAGGTAAAGACCCTCCCGGCCTGGCCCTCTTCATCCCGCCTCTTCGCTCCCTTCCGCCCCGCCCCGGACCCTTCTCCCCCCTTCCCCCA